ACAGACCGACTGTGGTTCTGTTACTGCCGTCCGGTAGCACCAACCCGCGAACAGACCCCTAAATCTAGTAATCACTAGATAGTGATCCGTTCCCAGTTCAGCACCCCTGAACACTCGCGTATCCATCACCTGTTTTCGCAGTCGGTCATCCACCAGGAACAAATCGATCGTACTTCTCTCATTCTTTCGTTCTCTAGTATACATATGGATTTTCTTGTGACTAAACATAGTGTTTGTCACAAGAAGACCCTTTTCCTTGCACACCGCCAGTATAAGCTTGCCAGCATCATTAACTCTTTTATCGCCAAACTTTCCAAGTACCGACTCGTACCCTGGTCGTGCGGTACCAACCCATCCATTCAAATCCCCACATACAACAATTTTTTCGTTTCCCCTAGCCAAATCTAGAACTTCTCTTACATTCTCCCAAAACTCCTCCAGCTCAGCCCTGGACGACGAAGCTACCGGCTCATAAACAGCCAAAAGGAATAACTTCGCCAGTCCCAATTTAAAGCGAACCCAGAGAAGTCTTGAGTTCACAACCTTAAATTCAGTCATAACATCGACCAACCGAGAAGACAGCAGCACCCCCACTCCCTGGCAGGCGTTCTCGCTCTCCGGGACTCCGGACCATAGAGCTAACGCCCCGCCAGGGAGCTCTTCAGTACCACTGCCCTTCCGTTTGGTCTCCGACATACACACGACATCTAATTCTCTTTCTTTCATTATTTCGATCAACTCATTCGTCTTATCTCTCATGCCTCCTCTAAGATTCCACGTGCCAACTCTGCACTCTGTCCTCCACCTTCCGCCGTGTTGGGCTGTGCGTGACGGGTGGCGGTCCCCATCGCCGCTTTGCGCGCTTCATTCCACACCAACGGGGACGAGCTGGTGTGGGTCGCCTTGGCCCTATTATTAAATAATATAGTGAGTTTACATTTTAATTTTGGCATAAGTGGCAATCAAAATTTAGGCAATTAGATTAAAAATTTGACTTATTTAACATTTAACTAGGATAACAAACAACCCTTACATAACCTTTTGTATATCACAATTGCCGATAATAAAAAGAAAAAAACTTTAATAGAGGAAAATTGTGGTGTAAAAACACCAGAGACACTGCCCCTTCTGGCAGCAACCTATTTCTTTTAGTTTCGTATATATTACCAGCTTTGGATAAGTCTTTTGCTATACACAGATAGACTCTTATCCGCAAGACGCCACATTTCGGGATATATTGAACTGTTCCGACTCCACCACTCAAATCAGCTTACAACGAAGCGCCACGGGGATTGCTTATACCACCCCAACTTCTAAAATGTTGTCTACAAGGGGTCGCTCGACGACTGACGCAGGTGTCGAGCGTCTGCCCAACACCTGCATCAGTCGTCGAGCTTATGAAATATATTTTCAATACCTGGGGAGAATTCGCAAGATGCTCCAGGTATTTTTTGTAATGAATGTTAAACATTCGAATACCAATGTGCTCTTAAATGTGGAGGAGTTGAGTCTTGTGGATACCACTGTTTTCCTTGGTATCTGGGGGTACCGCAGTGCCCCCACCAAGTCGAGCAAAAAAGCAGCACGGCCGTAACATCCTTTTCTCGAAACGTTCAGGCCATTTCGACACCCTATAACTTCGTTATGGATAAAACTAGAAGATTGGTACGGAATGCGGTCTTTCTTGGCATCCTACCCATGGGGGCGGGTGTGCTTCTCGCCGGATAATCCCAGCGCTGTTACTGACTCTGTCACTGATGTGGTGCTACAGGGAATGGGACTATTTATTCCATCATCTGTGGTACCTATCGGAGGCAGATCTCAGCCTTGGTTTGGTCGTTCCTATAAAACTGCATTACGCAGTAAGCAGGAGTGTTATCAAGCCTGGACTGCGGCTTCGGCGACTCGGGATGTAAACATCAGCACACTTAAAAAGAAGTATAACTTCGCCTCCAGGTCCTTCAAAAGAGTTATTGCCAAGGCAAAGTCAGAGCACATTGGCAGAATTGACGAGAAACTAGTTCGCCTTCCTTTGGGAACCCGTGCATTCTGGTCTCTCGCCAAGGCTGTCCAAGGGAATTTCTGTAAACCATCACTACCATCTCTGCACAGGGAGACCCAAGACGCAAAAGACAATGTCGACCTTTTAGGCTCCCTTTTTGCATCCAACTCGACTCTTGATGACGGGGGGAAAACACCGCCGACCATCCCGCGGTGTGAGTGCTCCATGCCGGATGTGCTGTTCTCACAGCGCTCGGTTTGCAAAGCACTCCTCTCCCTGGACATCCAGAAGTCGAGTGGGCCTGACGGAATCCCCCCAATTGTGCTGAGGACGTGTGCTCCGGAGTTGGCACCGGTCCTAACGCGTCTTTTCCGGTACTCCTACTCCCAAGGCGTAGTCCCGAATTCAAGGAAGACAGTTTTTGTCCACCCGATCCCTAAAAAAGGCGACCGCTCAGACCCAGAACTATAGGCCTATCGCGATCACCTTGTTCTCCAAAATAATAGCATCAATTATTAACTGCTAGCTCATGCGGTACCTTGAGGATCACCAGCTGCTTAGTGACCGCCAATACGGTTTTCGTCAGGGTCGATCAGCTGGTGATCTTCTAGTCTACCTGACCCATAGATGGGCGGAGGCAGTAGAGTCCAAGGGGGAGGCGTTGGCCGTTAGTTTAGACATTGCTAAGGCCTTCGATCGGGTTTGGCACAAAGCACTTCTTTCGAAGCTCCCTTCCTATGCGCTTCCCGAGAAATTATGCAATAGGATCACCAGCTTCCTTGCAGATCGGAGCATTATGGTCGTTGTAGACGGTGCATGCTCCGACTACAAGTCTATTAACGCTGGTATTCCACAAGGCTGTGTGCTATCACCAACGCTGTTTCTTCTGCATATCAATGATATGTTGCTAACTGGTAACATTCTTTGCTATGCGGATGACAGCACTGGTAATGCTCTATACACCGGCCGTGCTAATATTTCTCGGGAAAACGTCGCCGAGTACCGGAACAAACTTGTGTCTGAAGTCGAGTATTTGCTGAACAAAGTCTCGGATTGGGGGTGACTAAATCTAGTCCAGTTTAATCCTCAGAAGACACAAGTTTCCGCGTTTACCGCTAAAAAGAACCCCTTTGTCGTATCTCCTCAGTTTCAAGGCACTCCCCTTCTTGCCTCAGCCAGTATCGGAATCCTCGGAGTCGACATATCGTGTGACGTGCAGTTTCGTGGTCACTTGGAAGAGAAGGCCAAATTGGCCTCTAAAAAGCTTGGCGTGCTCAGCAGAGCGGGACAGTATTTCATGCCGGCACACCGCCTGCAACTTTACAAGGCGCAGGTTCGGCCTCACATGGAATACTGTTCTCATCTCTGTGCGATTTAGATGTTTTCTTCCTCGCACGACTTCCTTGTGGAATCGATTACCATCAGCGATTTTTCCGGACCGATACGACTTAGGGACCTTCAAGAAAAGAGCGCACTCCTTTCTAAAAGGCCGGCAACGCATCTGCGATTCCCTCCCTGGTGTTGCAGCTGTTCATGGGCGTCGGTAGTCACTTACCATCAGGTGAGCCACATGCTCGTTTGCCCCCTCTTCTATAAAAAAATATCAAAACAAAGTTTACTTGAAATATTGCCAAATTAAAAAACACAACATTCACGACAGAGTAAATCGTTAACGTGACCGTTTTTAAAACAAATTTAATAAATGAAAAGAAAATTCTCACAGCCTAAATAGATAACATGTATGATATCCTTCATTACATTCGTCGGAGATGATAAAATAAAATAATGCATAACAATGTTTTAAAGCAACTAAGTATATCTTTGTGATATGTAAAATGTTATCCAACTTCTACATGTCAATGACCAACAGCATACAATAGGAACGTCAGCTTATTTAACCAGGGAGTAGAGCTCGAATTCCCGAGCAATCGGATAATCAACGCAAAAGCACAATAGTATAAAGTTCAAATGTTATCATTAATAATTTAATACTTTGTTACATCTGCCTTAAGGGCAAGTACGACCACTCCTTTGTTAATAAATTTTATTATTTAATAAAATTTCCCATTTATTATTTCCTAGGTCATTAGATAAACCTCCAAATCACCAAATTAATATGCCTGGTTGGAAAATATTTTATTAATGTGTTTCTGGCACAATTACAAGTATACCTACCGTGTGCGCAAAAACACAAAGTATTTAATATTTATATTTAAATTATATTGTATTAACTATTATTTTATATTACTTTAATTACGAAGTTAATTAAGTTCTCGAAATTTTGAAAATTCTATAATTACTGTTGTAAATATGAAAGAGCTGGAACTTGTATACATATACTTGAAAGCTACAATTTTACGCTCTCTAGGATATTAGTATTATGATCTTACTACCATCATTACTTAGTTTTATTATAAAATTAAAGATGACAAACGAACACACAGTTAAACTTATTAGGTTTACTTGTTATATTTTATTTTTTACTTAACCTATAGTACAGGGATGCCATGGCCTATAGCCACCTACATCTATATTTCCCGTGTATGTACTATTAAAAATCAAAATGCAGATGGACTAAGGTAAAATTGCTTCGCTAACATTAAAAAAGTTTTTCGGTTCTCGTTATTCACCACACGAAAAGCAGCAGCTTACGCTACTATTTGACACCGATATTCTGTGCTAGATCTTTCGCTGGTCGAGTAGACCATTCGTGTTGCAGTACACAACAACGTGGCTAAACTACGTACGAATTTGAACTTAAGCACCTATAAAAAGCTAAAACACACTTTTCCTCTTGTATTATACTCACGTGTGTCTATTTATTACCGCTTGTCTCGTCTTAATATTTCTTGATTAAAGCGAAATGTGTGTACTCTTTACATCCATTCCTGGATCCGTGCATATCAATTCCTACTAATCAAGGCTACATTGTTTCTATGCCTAGATAAATGTTAAAGTCCGTGTTTCACATCATTCGTAATTCTGCTACGTTATCAAAATGTATAAGAGCTACATAATATTATATTTATTAGCAACTGTAACGGCTAATGATACTGGAAAAAAAAGTTTTACTATTGTAATCGATACCACGATATCAATGCGTGATGAGTTAGAAATATTGAAAGCGAATCTTCAATCTGTGATTATGGGTACAAACTTAGCTGACATCTCAAATTACATTTTGGTGCCTTTTGATGATCCCGGTAAGTAAAATTATCAAAAAAAACCTAAAAAATTATTGCTAGTGATTACAAAGTATTTTTTTTACTATTGAGTTAAATTTAGAATTATTTATTTTATTTAATGTTTAGAAGCTTTAAAATTCCTTTAAATTATTTAAAAGACTTACGTTATGTATTAATTTACTTAATTTAGACATTGTGATTTTAAATATTTATTTAAATATTTTGTTTATTTGCACGTATAAATATTATATAAGTCAAACGTATTGTTTAACGCACCTTCTGCAAATTTGTTCTGAATTTTGTAGGGTTCGGTCCACCCCTTATCATGTCTAAGGCGGATAGACTCCTAGAGCTAATGAACATTGTGGAAGTGGGCGGTGGAAATGATTGTCCAGAAAGTTCTTTGCCCGCAATAGAACAGGCATTAACAGTGAGCCAGCCAAATTCGTTCATATTTGTATTCACGGACGGATACGCCAATGATGACAGTAAATTGACTTCTATAAAGAGACTGTGTCGTAGTACACGCAGCCAGGTAATTGTAAAAAAGAAATATTTTTTTTACGTTTGATAAATTGAATTTAACAGCTAATAGTATACCAGTTTTAGTAATGTTTTTGACAATTTTTTAAATATTCTTAACAAAAAAATGTCTGGACTGAACCGCTTAACGTGTAGTGGCTGTGTAAGAATATCCACTACCTCATATCGTCCCGTGGATATCGTAAGAGGCGACAGATGGAAACTGAAACAGGAGATGAGCAGCAGCATCTTCCGGATAACAACTCAAAATAAACAAAATCTGTGATTGCCAACCCGCCTGCCAAGCGTGGCAACTATGGCAAAATCCTCCCTATAAAGCAATCTGTGAGAGGCCTATGTTCAGCAGTGGACTTTTACTGTAATATCTTAATTATTTTACTTAAACTTTTGCTTTAATTGTGACAGGTCATAATTTTTCTTAGCGGGAAATGTATTTCAACTGGGACTAGAGCTGTGGTCGGAACTATTGACGCTTACTTTGATATTGCGAAATCATGTTCCGGCTCTGTTCTTCAGTTTGAATTGAGCAACTATCGACAGGTGAGTTCGAATGTTGGTGATAATTTTGTCTGCATGACTAATTTTGAGTTCAACTACGACTTCTACTAGTGGAAATGGCAGAATCTTATGGCTTCCAATATATGGCTTTATGATCTCGTTTACTCTAGACATACAAACACAGAGACCGGCGACGGGCAAGTATCAAAGACGTGTTACGTCTGGTATGGCGATCGTCAATCCACCACAACGAGAGAATCCCATATCCAGCAATGGACTTTTACGTACTCATGAAGAAAACGAAGAAGTCATGTATTCAGTAACAATTGATTATAATTCTAAAACTGTATTTTTAAATTCAAATACATGAAAACAGTTTTATCTATATCTTAATGCAACGAAAATAGGAGACAATTATTTTGGAATGACGCTTTGATGAGTTTTGATGTATTTGTCCGCACAACATCGTTCGAATACAGTTGAATGTTAGTAATCGTGCAGAGTCATAATGCTATACGTTTTTGCATTAATGTAGATTGGATTGTATCTCAATCGAAGGTAGAAATTAAATTAAATATTCGAGTATCGAAGACAGGATAAAATATGACCTCTTTATATTTTTGAATTGTCTGTGACTTGATAGTCCACTCAATTTAGCATAAAAAATCAACTTCGGAATGAGAGATAATAAGCTGAATTTTCGTATACCTCTATCGCAAAAACGGTTGAGTGCATGAAAAAATGTTTCAAATAAAATTTGTCGCAAATTTTATGCTCTACAATTTTTGTATGATCAATATTAACATCACTGCAGCAATAAAACCGAGATAAAATGAAAAACTGTTTTTTTTACCTTTGATCTTGAATAACTTACGAAGCAGAGACGAGATTTTATGAGACTTTTGAGACAACTATTAGAATGCCAATATGAAAGAATATACGAAAATTTAGCTTATTATCTCTCATTCCAAGGTTGATCGCTAATTTGACTGGACTAGTGTGTTTGTTACAACTGATACATTTCGATTCGGCTAATTAAATAATGTCTTTTAAATTTCAGGCTTTTAAATTTATGAAAGAATTAATAAAAACAGATTGGACGGAAATCAATGCTCATGAAGAATTTATTGGACCGAAACTATTTACGGTGGGTGTATTCTTAAAATAAAAAACATTTTATGTTTTAGGAAATTCATAAAATTTTAATAATAAATTATAATAAGCGGAACTTGTTAATGTTTAATGCAGTACTAAAGTTAACTTTCCTCTAGTTTCCCGTCGATTCGTACACAAAGGACTTTATTGTAGCAGTGTCAGGCGAATATGCAACTTTGGAAATCACTGACGAGTATGGTCGAAGTCCTGCTCTCGAGAAAATTATTGATACACGTCAGTCCCAGGTAAGGTTTAAATTAAATACTATTTCGTATCTCAAAAACCTGCTATTTATGATGAAATATACAGGGTTATTTTTCAAAGAGTATATAAATTTTATATTTAAGTTCAAATATGTAAATAATGATATACTGTTATTGCAGTTTTTGAATATACCAGTAAATAAGGCTTCTACTTTTATTTGTAATTAAAAATTAAGTTGAATGTCATTTATGGGCAACAACTACGCGTACGCGCGCTCCTCTCTGTGTGTGATTCAATTTACGTTTTTGCCGACCGAGCGTCACATTAAAGTTATTTAAACTAAAAGTGAAACAAAGTTAGTTTATTTATGTTATAAGTTATTTTAATTTATGTATAAAAATGACAAGCACCGGAAACATTATTATTGGCGGCACCGCTTGCAGTAGCAGTGGCCCTGACTTCCGCTGATTTTATTTCCGAACTTTATATTAGGGGGCAACCATACATTACAAGCTCAAAATAAATTCTAAATAAATTTCGGATTCTCTTCAAATCCCATTTAAGGGAAAGGCACCAATTAAAATCTCACGTGGAATTTTCAATACATACATAGAATATTTTTTTAAGATTATGTTCGTTAAAGGCATGACAAAAAAGAACATCACTCAGCATGTGTTGTGGTGAAATCACAACGCTGACTTTTATTGATGACGGAAAATCTTCTCCTGCTCGGGGAATACAGCCCAGAGAATAATTTACATAGAGAGAAAAACAAAATTAGGCAAATTCTTCTGTATATTATGTATACTTTCCTCAAAATAACAAAGAATCACAAAGTGGGGTACATCAAAATGGGCAAGTGGTTTATTTTTCGCCGCCACTACATGGCGAATATATTTCTACCCCCGTCCATAAATTTAGTTCTTCACCGTGAATAGACGTAAAGAACGAAGCGTAAAAAAAATATATCAGCATCAATTTTTTGGTGCCAATTAATGCGATTAGCCCCTCCCCCCTCTCCCTTTCGCACGGGTGGTTTCTGGATCTCAACAATATCGACACCTATACCGTCCAATTGTGAAAACCATCCAGGGTGTTAAAGTTAAAAGTTAAAGTTACAGCCTATATACGTCCCAGTACTAGACACAGGCTTCCTCTCATTTCTGACAAGGTTTTAGGTCAAGTATGTGCGCCGCGTCGCCGACAAAATTCACATGTCTTCAAAATATTTTTTTCTTATTTCTCTGACGTGCAGATTTGGTAAATCAGCACTAAAAATTGCAATTAACAATTTCTTTGGTGCCAGCGGGGTTCGAACACGGGTTGCTGCGTATTGTGACATTTACAGCGAGCGCTTAGCCCCTGAGCAACCACGGCTCTCCAAGATGTAAAACCATCTATTCCATTCAACGCAAACACACACAAAAAAAATTATCAAAATTGGTCTAGCAATTTAGGAGAAGTTCTGTGACAAACACAGGTACCGAAGATTTATATACGAGTATATAAAGATATAAATAAATTAATATTTTTAACCTTACTTTATTTGACTAGAGATAGGTATTACCTATCTAAATATAGTTTAAGACAGATAGCAAATGTATATCGTATATTTTATATATGAACTCAGCCAAGGACTTGGCTACACAGACATCTGCTTCTTTTGAGCAGTATAATGACTTAATAATTAGTAATTTTTAATTTGGAATCAGTTCCTGATAATTAGTAATTTGGAATCAGTTCCAAGTAATTTAAATTAGAAAATGAGACAATAGAGGTAATCTCTAGCAGTTATAATAATTTAAATAAGTTAGAATGTAGCTTACAAATCTTCAATTGTGAGACTCCACAGAGTGATAATGAAAATTGTTTACACCTGGTGCATAAAAATATACAAAGCATGTTAGGCAAAGAGCTAGAAATTGAGTTGTTCTTAAATAGCAACAATATTCATATTTTATGTATTACTGAACATTGGTTAAAAGCTTATAACTTTATGTTTAACTTTAGTAATCACCAGGTAGTCAGTTCTTTCAATAGAGAAACTGTTTTAAGACGTGGCTCCTTAATATTAGCTAGTAAATTATTATCATGTAAAGAACGTAAAGATATTGTGAGCTTCTCTGTTGAACGAACTGTAGAAATGGCATGTGTTGAGTTTGGGCACCTCATTATTGTGATCGTCTACAGAGCCCCATGTTCTATATACGATACTTTTGAAAAAAATATTTAGGAAGTTTTTGCTAAGCTTAATAAACAGAATAAATCTGTTGTTATATATGGAGACTTTAATATCAATCTCCTAGAAGCTTCTTCCATCAATATTAAATTTAGATCATTGTTTAGATAATTGTCTTTATAATTTATTTTTAGAGCCAACGCGTATTGCTCAATCTAGTGCAATATGTACAGATAACATTTTTACAAGTGCGAAGCCGTTGCATAAATGTATAATTCAAAAGTTAAGTTCTGATCACTGTGGACAAGTTGTTTCGTTACCTTATGTTCACAAAAAGCAAGTAGATGAGAAAATTGTGTTTGTTCCATTATTAGAACTGGTGCATATACATGCACGTCGCTTGGAGAAATTTAGAAGTAACATAGTGAAAAAACTTCCATCACTTTCATACCAAAATGATCCTAATTTTTTGTAAGGAACATTATTTAAGCTTATTTGCAATGAATTTAATAATACTTTTACTTCTAAAACATTCAGTCGGAAGTCATTCAATGAATGGGCGACAGTAAGAGTACATAAGAGCAGACATAGGTTATATGATCTTTACCATGAAAGGTCATAATAATCATAGCGTCAAATTTAGGGAATAAATGTAAAAAAATATTCAAAAATATTTAAAAGAGTGTGCTCCACAGCCAACTCTTTGCATTTGAGCAACAAAACTAAAACGGCTTCCAATAAAATTAAAATGACATGGAGTATAATTAATAGCGAAACTGGTAAGATCAACTCTCGCAATTCAAATTACCAGTTAAGTGTTAACAACAAATTAACTGAATCAGATCAGGATGTAGCAATGGTTTTTGAGAAATATTTTACTGATATTCAGATATTAACCACTAAGTCACTGAATTTTTCTTCTGCCATCGCTGAATCATTACTTAAACAAAATGTAAATGCGTGTACAAAGATTTTTTCATTTCATAATCAAGTATCATCAAAAGATATTGTAAAATATTTTAAAACTATTGATGTTAAAAAAACTACGGATCTGTGGGGGATATCCGTTAAAGTTATTGCGTCTATAATAGATACAATTGCGCCTCATTTATTTTTAGCTATTATTTTTAATACTAGTATCGAATCTGGTGTGTTTTCTGATTTAATGAAGCATAGTAAAGTAATACCTTTATTTAAATCTGGTAGTACATTAGACCCCGCCAATTTTAGACCTGTTTCTGTACTACCAACACTTAGTAAGATTTTTGAAAAAATTATTCTTGATCAAATGTTAAATTTCTTTAGTATAAATAATTTACTTCATAAAAATCAATTTCGTTTCACAAGGGGTCGCTCGACAACTGATGCCGGTGTTGAGCTGATTAAATATATCTTTAATGCATGGGAGAATTCACAGGATGCTTTGGGTATATTTTGTGACCTATCCAAGACCTTCGATTGTGTTCACCATGAAACATTAATCAGGAAACTTCAACACTACGGTGTAAGAAGTCATGCTCTTAAATTAATTATTTCATATTTAAGTAAGATGACGCAAAAAGTGGTAATTAACAGTATGAGCTCAAGGCTTAATTCTCGGCCCCTTTCTGTTTCTTGTATACATTAATGACTTACCTCACATAGTAGGGGATAACCATGATATAGTATTATTTGCAGATGACACTTCTTTAATTTTTAAATTAAGTCGACGTATTAATAAAATATGGCGAAATAAATAATGCTTTACATAAATTAGTAAATTAGTTCAATGTTAATAATTTGCATTTAAATTGCACTAAAACGAAATGTATGAAATTCATGACTCCAAATGTCAAACAATTAAATACTAATGTAATTTTAAATGGGGAGAAACTGAGTCTTGTAGCTACCACCATTTTTCTTGGAACCACCCCTACTGCTTGCTAGTTTTGATATATGGAGGCTATATATCAAAACTAGCAATCAGACTTAGTTCTACAGCATATGCTGTAAAAAAGATTAGAAGTCTAACCAGTGTTGAAACAGCTAGACTACTTTAGCTATTTCCATAGCATAATGTCGTATGGTATTTTGCTATGGGGACACGCAGCTGACACTGAAATTATATTTGTTTTACAGAAGATGGCCATAATAGCAATTTATGATTTAAAGCCTAGAGTCGCTGCGACGAAAATTGAAGAAAAGAAGAAATATTAACTTTGGCCTCTCAATACATTTATGAAAATGTATTATACATATACAAAAATAAAAGTAGTTTTACAAAAATAAGTGATATTCATTCAGTAAATACTAGGAACATACACAAGCCAGTAGTACCAGTTACTTGACTCCATCGAGTAAGTAATTCATTCTTGGGGCGATGTATACGCTTTTACAACAAAATTCCAGAAAATATACAAAATTTGTCCTGCTCAAAGTTCAATAACTTTATTAAACTAAGGTTGTATAAAAAGGGTTATTATAATATTAAAGAATTTATCGATGAAAATAACCCCTGGAAATGAGGTGATCGCTACCAAGCTATTTCTAATATGTAGTGTTGTTAATTATGTAACATACATGACTGCAAGCTGTTATTTAAAAAAAAGTCGCGCTGGGTTTTTTGCTGATTCTTTCCAGGACAGAGGTTTTTTTTCGAACCAGTGGTAATCAAACAAAAGAGTGACTTTCAATAAGTATTATTTATAATCTATATTGAATAAAAAAGATTCTGTTTCTGTTTCTGTTTCTATATTTCAATTTAACTTAAAAATGGAAATCATATCGTAATAAATTGTATTGTTAAACTTATTTGGCATTGAGTAAAAGGATTTTTTATTTATTTTTTTTTATTTTATGAATAGAATCCTTTTTATTCAATATTATAGATTGCAAGAATCCTTATTGAAAGTAATTTAAGCTTTACCACTGGTTCCGAAAAAACCTCTGTCCGGAGAAAACCCAGTAAGAAATCCAGTGGGACGTTTTTTTTTAATTTACAATATAATATTTTATACAATTGGTATGAAAACATTTATTTAGAAACAGCATGATAGCGCCTCAGCAACTTATTCCCAAGGGATAATATCAATCATGTACCCAATCTTTAGTAAAGCACGTAGTAGGTCGCGAAGCAGGAATTTTTTTATTGCTTTGCATTTTTAAACTTAATTCCCATCATAAAAAGTTTTATTTCTATTGCAACTTAAATAATTTTAGGACCTATTGAACAGTATTTGTGATTCGAAAAGCGAATTTATTCTCAAGTAGTTAAAGTTCACATTTGTATAGATTGCAATAATTTGAAATTCTTTCTGCTTCGCGATCACGCCATAGTATAATAACCCAAATAAACAATTTTTGCTTCATAATAATTTTAAGGCTTTTGATAGATAAGGCCTGCTATTTTCTGGGGTTTTGTTTTAAAAGCGTTTACATAGCACCATGACGGAATTACTGACTCTTTGGAGTAGAGTAACTGGTAAAATTGTGCTTGTTCTTAGTATTTACAGAATGTACATCACTATTTTTACTTTCCCTAAATACAGCTAGAAAAAAACTGATTAAAATTACCAATGTGTATTCTTAATTATAGATTATGAATCTGTCATAACAATAAAAACTCCATAATAGCACATCTCCAGATTTTTCTTGAGGGTGTTGCTTTACATTGTAGAAAGTTGGAATAAAATTAATTTTATCATCTACTGGAAAGGAAGAACAACGTCTGCCAAACTAGCTAGTTTTTTTATAAATTTATTTGATGCAGGTCGTCCGCATCGTTACGCCAGATATTGGAGAATATAAGGCGAATATACTGTCCCAAGGACCTACAATAACGACGTTTTATAGGAGGAGAGAATTGAAATTCCAATTTGGTTTTTCAACTAAAATTCCAAGAAGCTTGAAGGAAACCAGTCGCCTACCGTTACCAGGTGAATAAAATAATAAAATTATGTTTTTAAGGCCAACATTTTACAAGAGTTTGTCCATAAAGTCTTAGTAACAATCACTTCTTAATACTCGTTTAAAGCCGGGGCGGCTTCAGAGGCAGCTGAACTGAGTAAGTGGCGCAAATATGAGTCTCTGAGAGATGACTACATATTTGTGCCATTTGCTGTAGAGACTATCGGTCCGTGGGGTCCACGTGCGGTGAAGTTCCTAAAGGAACTCCATCCGCGGCTGGTCGTTGCTGCTGGTGATAAGAGGGCTGGTTCTTTCCTCGCTCAAAGGCTAAGTATAGCCATTCAGCGGGGAAACGCAGCCAGCGTTCTTGGCACGATACCGCGGGGAGTAGGACTATATGATAATTAAATTTCTAGTTTTAGTTTTTTTTTATTATCATAGTTTTTAATATTGTAGATAAAATTAAGTATTATGTAGAATTTTATCCTATCTTAATAAATACGATATCAAAATTTCATTAATTATCTCCCTGACTGATTTGTTAAATTCAATTTTATTGACTACTAGCGATCCGCCTCGGCATCGCACGGGTGAAATTTGGATCTTGACAACAGCGCCGCCTAAAGGGTCCAAATATGAATCTAAACCATCTAGGGGCCTATTCAAACACACACAAAAAAAAATGCGTAAGTGTCGTGGAACACTCGGTTGGAACGAAGTTCCTTTCATAGTATATTATTATTGATAAACGTATTATATTATTTATTAACAAATATAAATAATTTAATTATTAGCGTCTATTAAAATGAAGCGTCATTTAAAATAAAATATACTGTCATAGTGTAAAATACACAAGGTGTAGTGACGAAAAAATCTTACACTTTTTGTCTCCTAGCTCGCAACCGCTAAACCGGTACCGTCTGATAAGAAACTTCGTTCCAAAAATTTCATCAAAATCGATAAAGCCAGTGTCGAGTTTTGGCGGTACTAACGGACAGCAATTGATTTTTATATATTAGAATATAATAAATTATTGTAATTTAATACATATGGCGTGTGATAATCCTCTGCCGATACCATCCTGTGGGTGTGTAAGAGACGACAGAGAGAAATGAAGCAGGAGATGGACAGCAGCAAAACTACGGTTGCCAACCGTTCTGCCAAACGTGGCAACTATGCCCTGTATGAGCAAATCTGAATTGGATGCCTATGTTAAGCAATACGCTTTCCATACAATGAATAAGTATATGAATACGATATACCAACTTTAACCCCTAATTTCTTGACTATGCTTTGAAACAAAAACTCTTTGTTTATCTACATTTAGCATTACAACAAATAATTTTTCCATCAGGTTCTACGAGCTACATATGCGTCGCAGTAGCTGAAATATCAATAGAACTGAATTCTATTCATATCAAATTTGATGGCAGAGATGTGAAAGCTATCAATGTCGAAATTCTTGACCAAAGTAAAGGTTTATTCGCGGCAAAGGAATACTTCGAACCTGGAAAATCGTTTAAAATTACGGTAGGAGTACACTAAAACACAAACCAACACAATCAATTTTGCTAAATTGCTGATATTTACCTCCCAAATTCGATCACGGCGACAACTCCCAAATTTTTGACGACTCGTAATGGCTAAGGGTAAGGCTGCTACGGATCAAGCTACGGGTTCAAATCCCGTACGTAGCAAGTTTATGGCCTGCTAACGATTATTCCGGGTCTGAGTTGTTCATGTATAATTTTTGTACCTATGTCAACGCCTCCACAATACAGGAAAATCGCTTTATTAATTGCCGTAATTAAATCCTATCCAGTTTGCATACCTCGAAGCAAAAGCGTACTCTATATGTATAATTGGACAAAACGAAACATCATTTTCAATTATCAAAAATCTTTCATCGATAAAATACAAGCTAAACAAATTTAAAAAACCAGTTATATGAATTCAATAGTTCCACTGTTTAATTATCAGTCAGATTATAATTTATACGATGATTTACTTTTATTTGAGGATTGAACAATTAGCCGTTTTGTAACTTAAAATCATCTACGCCAAATACATTCTAAAGCACTCCTGATATACCGAAAACGACATATCATCGATAAATATTATAGATTATTTCTGCAAGCTTTATAATGCGATTCGATAATTCTAATTAATATTCACATCGATTTAATATAACAAAATTAAAGACATTAATAATATTAAATTGAAATTTGTATATTTATTGCAGATATACGGTCGGGATTCATCGTCTTATCAAGTAATAAAAGGAACAACGGGTATATTATTACCACAAAGTCACGGTAATTAATATTCATAATCAAGTAATCATAAAGATTTGAATTATTTTATGACAGCTCCACAGATGGGTCGGTTCAACCTGGGAAGGACCACACTCTCACAAAATATTGGCATAAAATAGAAGCATAAACCTGCTGCTGTGTCTTGTATGGTATATTTACAGAACCGGAGACCTTATTCACTAGTGTAACCAGGAATTTTATCTGAGACCTCAAAGAAGAAAACGTATCTGCATTTTTATTCTTAATGACTATAAAATTTGTCTGCGGGCCACGGCATTCGTTTACAAATGGACTGTGTGCTCCTTCTTCACCCATTATTGTAATAAAAAAAATCTAAAATATACCAAATTATATAATAACTTACAGTGAGTAATTAACTCATAATTAACTAATTTTATTATCATTTTGTAAATTAAAACGTTATTATTTTAGTATTTCAACCCCAGGAACAAACACCTAAGATAACAATGATGGAACCAAAGGTAGCAGTAGTGGATTTTAAAACAAATTTAACCATCGCCTGTAAAGTCTCGGGTTATCCCAAACCAGTTATTTCCTGGTATGACGAAACCGGAACGATTTTGCGGTCAGAGGTAATCACTTAATACAATTTACTGCATGTAACATATTACATTTAGTTTTTAAAAGTTATTACTTTATTTCGAGTTTCATTTTCGTAAAATATCTTTTGTATGAATAATTAAAATATATTATCCAAAAAATATTGAGTCTTTCGGAAAGTTCTGTCAATATTGATAGTACATGTGGTTTTTCATTCATTCATTTAGTACAGCCCATCACAAGTCCACTGCTGAACATAGACCTCCCAAAATAAGCTAAGTAGGTACTACATGTGGTAGTGCACCGCAATTTCTTTACACTTCGTCATAATTTCTGCGGTAAGAAATTTTCTCTAAAGCAGTATCTAAATGAGAGCCAATAATAATGCTCATTTGAAATACTGATAACGTAACGAGTTCTAAAATTGAAATAATGCTTTTACAGCCTGTAGGAATTGCTGTAATGTTTTGGACTCAACAGCTTTTCTCTCATACCGGTATCTTTCGGGTTACTGATAAAATAAAAAGGAAGACCGAAATTTCATAATAAAATTTTAACATTTGCCATTCAACTTAATATGTAATAGAAAACCTTGAGATATAATATTTGCAATAAATGACTGATACATAATTGACACCTTTATTTCTACTCCAAGTACAAATAGTTACATTTTCCTCACTCGCAAGTCGTCTTTTACGACATTCGCAGTATTAAAATAAGTTTTACTATACCTGTGACTTTATCACATTCGACCAGTAAAACCAGTCCACTGTTATACACGGGTCACTCCTACACAAGAAAAGGTTTGCCATAGTCACCACGTCTAGGTTGTTAAGTAATCTAACCAGCGATCTGCCGTAGTGAGGCCACAAGATTTTTAGGGCATTTACCTTAATCACAACCACGAAATAAAATAGGGCAGTGGACTCTAACGGCGCCAACCCACGGCTACTACTTGACTTACGTCTATTTCTTCTTTAGTATTTTCATGACAGAGGTAAATGTAAATTTATTATTCTCATCTGTACCGTAACAATATTTAATCCTTGTTTTATGGCAGGATGCTCTCCTCGAAATTCCATCAGTTTTTATAAGCTACGCTACCATCGAAAATATAACTAAGAACGGCACAATTACTTGCAAATGTGAAAATGACGAAGGCGAAGACACCTTGACAATGGATCTCTTTGTTAATAGAACTTTTACATTTGAAGTGAAGGAATACCCACAAGGTAAGTAGATCTTTATCATTAACATCACCATCAGTCTTCCTATACAGGCATGTGTCCCTCCCACCTTGGGCAAAATGTGACTTGTCGTCATGTTTATCAAGTGGATTGACAAATGCAGTATCAGACTTTCAAACTTTCGACTCAGGTCCCTGTTGCCGAACGGACGTGTCTTCTTACTGCCTTTCTTCAGCCTTTTTACTGCTCAACAGACATTGTAATAGAGGAATATAATATTACATAAAGCCATTACGTGCCAGTGTACATCAAAAATTCACATTGCATTTAAAATATGATACTTAGTAGTACATAATGTAAATTAAAAAATTTTGTACAGCCGACTTCAATATAAGTTATTTAAGAATAACTCAATAACCATTGGTCTGACCTTGATCAAATTCATATGAGACCACACGAGAACTATCGGCTTTCATATAAAAAAAGAATCATCGAAATCCGTTCCCCCAGTACAAAGTTATGAGGTAACACACATTAAAAAAAAACATACACTCGAATTGAATACCGTTTCCTTTTTGGAAGTCGGCAGAAAAGAGACTTTATCGCAGGTACAACCCTCTTACCTTTTTTTTATCTGAAGGGTATAAAAAGCCAGTTTAATTACACGCTGTGAGGCATTCCATCTTAGTTCTCAGAGGAGATAACGCATCTGTGGCTGTGGCCTTTTTTGTTTGAAGTTGCTTGAAGATGTCTATGGACTGCTGTAGGCTGTAGCCAATTACTTAATGTGGACTGTGAGTCCGCATGTTACTTCAGTTTTACAAAAAAAAAACTCATGCCCAGCAGCAGTTTGCTAAAACACTGTAAACTATAAATAGCTTCTTAATTAGTCTTTTTATACATAATTTTGTATATTTATTATTTCTCCAAGTTTTTGTTTGACTTCTAAATACAATACTTAAAACGTAAGAATTAAAAAAAAATATAAGAGTGTCGTGGATCACTCGGTTGGAACAAAGTTTCTTTCGTAGTATATTATTATTGATAAACGTATTATATTATTGATTAACAAATACAAATTAATTAATTACTAGCATCTATCAAAATGAAGCGTCATTTAAAATAGAATAATGTTTCTTTCATGGCAAGATAAGAAAAAGTGCGAAGGAGATGGATATTATCTCGCTTCCTTATAGCCGCCAAGGCCGTCTACGTATACACTACGTCAGAAGGGGCTGTGATGGAAAATTCTTACACTTTTTCTCGCCTAGCCCCCATCCGCCAAATTCGTACTGTCCGATAAGGAACTTCGTTTAAAAAAAAACCTTACTTTTTTAATTTGCAGACGCAACATTTGAATTTGGAGAGGAAGGAAAACTGCTTTGCGAAGTAGATGCGTACCCAGAAGCTTCAATACAATGGTATCATAATGACTCACTCATAGATTCGGATAATAATGATATCATTATCGAAGAAAATATGATTTTAATTAAAAACATGACCTTAGACACTACGGGAGAATATAAGTGTGAAATTAATAATTCTGTTGAGACGAAATCATACATTGCTGTTGTAGATATATCTGGCTTGGGTAAGACATTTCAATTATATTTGCACCTTTGCGTTTTATCTAAATCTCTAAATTTATAATCACTTAACTCTAAATGCAAAAAAAAAACAAATCATCAAAGCAAAATGTTATCAAAATAAAATTAGAAATAAAAAACAACAAAAATACGACGTACAAGTGAGACAAAAACATGTAGTATTTTTGTTATTTGTAAGATTGAAATTAATTCTAACATTGAAAACTATCTGAGAGGCAATGGTAATTAAAGTTTTATCTTAAAAAATATTTTATATAATGTCGAAAATTGGAATATTACTTTTCTTAATATAGATCTGCATTAGCTAGTATTCGGGCCCTTTATCTGGGCTTAGACGTTAACGGACTCCTTAAACTAAAAAAGTAGCCTAAAGAAGGTCTTAGTCATGTGTTTATGCCGCCAAGCTACAATTTCAACGTGCGAAATGAACACTATGTCTTTTTTTTATTAGTGTCCTGCTGTCTAGAAACTCTGAATACAAAAGTCAAAGATCATCGTGAGCACATTCTCGGAAAGACTTGTGTCCAGCTGAAAGGAAAATAATATTTTCAGATCTGAAATAAATTTTTCAAAAACTTTTATTTTACAAGGTTATATTTACTTCTTAGCTTAGCTTAGGACACCCACGGAAATATATGTGGTAGTGGATATTACATCGTTACCGACACTTTTTAATTTTACTTTTAGCCGAAATATATGCATAAAATAAATATGTAGAAAACTCGTGTCTGTAAATCTAAATAATTCTGGAAATACAAATCTAGGGAAATAAATAAAGTACTGGTATTAACTTTTACACTGCTTTCCGCATTACCTGACAATGTATATCGGCTTTTCGGGAATATCGAGTGGCCAAAACTTGCACGTACAACAAATAAAATATCTTATAAAGTTGTTTACAGATTAATTTTACTATATAGTAAATTACTTCTGGTTCCAAAGTCCCGAAACCTTTCAGCTCGAGTTACAAAACCGTTTTCAGTGCCTAGAAGCATTCCTCCAAAACCCACTATACGGTGTTAATGGGAGACTTCAACGCAAAACTAGGCACAAGAGAGAACGGTGAGCTGAAAGTAGGGAATTTCGGAATAGGGCAACGAAACCCAAGGGGTCAGCAACTGGCCGACTTCATGGAGAAAGAGGGACTCTTTATGATGAACTCTTTCTTCCAGAAGCGGCCCCACAGGAAGTGGACCTGGTCCAGCCCCGAAGGTTCGACAAAAAATGAGATTGACTTCATTATGACGACCAAACGACAACTGTTCAGTGATGTCTCAGTGATCGCGAGGGTAAAAACCGGCACACTGAACCTAAACGTTAAGTTGGAGAGGTCACGTCTAATGAAGTCAATGCTCCGTCCCCCTCGTGCTCTAATCCAAAGTCCCGAAACCTTTCAGCTTGAGCTACAAAACCGTTTTCAGTGCCTAGAAGGTTGCGATGCAGTGGACGATATGAATGACAAGCTCGTGGAAACTGTCCATGCGGTTGGAGCTAAGTTCTGCAAGACCCGCCGCAGACGAACACATAAACTCTCCGATCACACTCTCAATCTCATGGCTGTTAGACGGGAGATAAAGCTACATTCTTCAACAGATTTGACAGAATACAGGCAACTAAACAGACAGATCTCCAAATGCAAGCGGCGGGACTTACGTAACTTCAATACAGCTTGTATTGAAGAAGCGATCGAGGGGACCAATGCTCCAAAATCTTTGCCAGAGATCTGTCTGCCAGAAAGAGCCAACTGTCAAAGCTGAAGACCGAATGTAGCAGCATCGTTTCCGGGGCACCTGAGATTTTGAGTGAGATTAAGAGGTTCTATGGGCAGCTGTACACGTCATCGTTGGAGCCACACGCAAGTGTGAGTAACGATCCAAGAGCGAGTCTTATCCGACACTATTCCGAAGATATTCCGAAGATATCCCGGACATCAGTCTGAGCGAGATGAGAATGGCTCTCCAGCACCTTAAAAAAGGCAAGGCCCCAGGCGAGGATGGAATTACAGCGCAGCTTCTGAAAGCGGTTGGGAGACCGGTACATGAAGTCCTTCAGAAGCTCTTTAATTCCGTCCTCCATGGTGGCGTTACACCGGAGGCGTGGAGCAGAAGTGCGGTGGTCTTGTTCTTCAAGAAAGGTGACAACGCTCTCTTGAAGAACTACAGACCGATTTCCCTTCTGAGCCGCGTCTACGTGCTGTTTTCGAGAGTCATTACGAATCGTCTCGCGCGCAGACTTGACGACTTCCAGCCTCCCGAACAAGCCGGTTTCCGAAAGGGCTTTAGCACCATAGACCACATACATACCCTTCAGCAAATTGTACAGAAGTCCGAGGAGTACAATTGCCACTATGTCTGGCGTATGTGGACTATGAGAAAGCCTTTGATTCCGTCGAAATTTGGGCGGTGCTGCAGTCCCTTCAGCGGTGCCATGTTGATTGTCGGTATATCGAAGTGCTGAAGTGATTGTACAGTAGAGCTACGATGGCTATTCGAGTACAGAACCAGAGTACGAAACCTATCCAAACTTCTCACGAAACCTATCGAAACTCTTCACCGCTGCATTGGAAGACGTTTTCAAGCTTCTGGACTGGAAAGGATACGGTATTAACATCAATGGCGAGTACATCACCCACCTTCGATTTGCCGACGATATAGTCCTTATGGCAGAATTGCTGGAGGATCTAAGCACTATGCTCAATGACCTCAATAGTGTCTCCCAACGAATAGGTCTTAGGATGAACATGGACAAAACAAAGATCATGTTTAATGTCCATGTCACACCTATGCCGGTAGTTGTTGGGAGCACTAAGCTCGAAGTTGTTGGCAAGTATGTTTACCTGGGACAAATAGTCCGACTAGGTAAGTCCAACTTCGACCGAGAGGTCAATCGACGGATTCAACTCGGCTGGGCAGCATTCGGGAAACTACGACACATCTTCTCGTCAGACATACCCCAAAACCTTAAAACGAAATTGTACAACCAGTGCATGTTGCCAGTGATGACTTACGGATCTGAGACGTGGTCCTTCACTGGTGACCGTATGAGGAAGCTCAAGATCGCTCAGCGAGCTATGGAGAGGGCTATGCTCGGGGTTTCTCTGCGTAATAAACTTAGAAATGAGTATATCCGCAGTAGAACCAGAGTAACCGACATAGCCCAACGGAGTAGTAAGCTGAAGTGACAGTGGGCCGGCCATATAGCTCGAAGAACCGACAACCGATGGGGAAGAAAGGTCCTTGAGTGGCAGCCTCGTACCGTTAGGCGAAGTGTAGGGCGACCCCCCCTACGAGATGGAGTGACGACCTGGTAAGACATGCAGGAAGTCGATGGATGCAGGTGGCTCAGGACCGTGCTTTGTGGCATTCCTTGGGGGAGGCCTATGTTCAGCAGTGGACTTATGAAAGGCTGTAATGATGTAATGACATAATTTACTGCAATGAAGGCAAATTCAAATTGAGTCCTCAAACCTACTATTTCTGCCATTAAATCAGTCCACATCAGTATTTCGGCCAGTTGTAATTTTTAATCTTCCAAAGTTAAAAGCACTTCGTTGATGAGTTAGTGATAAAAAAGCCGGCCAATTGCGTATTAGACTCGCACATTGAGGGTTCCGTACCATCTCAAAACACGTTTCTAGTAGGGGGGGGGGGGGGGGCAACAGAAATACACATTCTGTGAAAGTTTCAACTGTCTAACTATTACGGATCATGAGATACAGTCCGCTGATAGATAGACGGACGGGCAACGGAGGCTTAGTAATAGGATCCGTTGGTTACCCTTTGGGTACGGAACCCTAAAGAACAACTTACTTAATAACATGTTATAATATATCATAAGAAAATTGATCTCCATGTGAAATAAATCTTGGAAAGTAACCTTTTTATAGAATAAAAGTGGCAATCGAGTACACAGTCCACCTGATGGTAAGTGGATGCTGTGACCCATAGATATCTATGTTTGTCATCGATTAAGAATCAAAATGTAGACGCGTTGTCACCCCTGAGAACTAAGATAGAATGCCTCGTTTCCAGTAAAAAGGGTCTCCGGTTCTCTATACTCACCATACGAAACACAGCTACCTTAAGCTACTATTTTACACTGGTATTCTGTAATAACGAGGTCCTACCCCGGTCAAGCCAATCCATTCGTGCACAACTTCTTGAAATAATGACATTCAATGTTTGGTTGTATAAAGAAAAACATTATTTCCGACAAATATGCAGACGAAGTCGCGGGAAAACCTAAAAAGTAAACATGGGCTGTGATTTAATCGAAATGATGTCGTTATAAAAAAAAATATAATGATGAATGATGATCCCATCTCAGAATATAATATGTGTATCTATTATCGTCCAATTATAGTATTATGTCACGGTTATATAGATAATATTGAAATATCAGAAACATTTTTATTAGATTTATTTTGTCAAAATCATGCTCTAAAACAGTTTTTAATCCAAAATTTTAGAAAGTCCAGAAGTAAAATTGGATGACACTGAACTTGTGTTAAAACCAGGCGACTTTGTGAACACGAAATGCACGTAAGTAATCTTAAAATATTTCTTACTATTATTATATTATAATAATTGCTATTATAATCATTATAATTGACTTAAGATAATTGACATTATGTATACATACTATTTATTAAGCACTACTGATCTATAAAATGTTTAAAATATCATATCGTAACTCACTAAAATCTATGCGTAGTTATTATGGGGATAAGCACCTATAATTTCATAGTATTCGAGCAACCTGAGTATGATTCTCGCTAGCACTTACTAGTGATAGCGCGTACTCAGTGTTGAAGGAAAAACATCGTGATAAAACCTGCGTGTCCAAGGGATTAAAAAAAATCAGAGTCAATGTCGTCTTCTGTCTGTATTTTTATATAATATGTCGGCTTTCCTGTTTCAAAGACCTACTCGAAATGTGTGGGAATAATACATACTTTAATTATCATATCATAAACACTCACGCCTGTTAGACAGAGACTACGGACTTCCATTTGGCACAATCCTGACACACCACTCTCGACTATGCCGACACCAGAACAGTAAGCGGTATACATGTCATGTGCAGTGGGGTCCTTTGCCTTTCGTTTCGTCTCATTTACACAAACACATCTATCCCTCTATCATATATCATTTCTCATACGTCATCCATCTTATTATTCATTGCTCCACATACATTTAGCGTAGCCAGAGGGACTTCCGCAATCCACTATTTGCCCCTCCTGGAGACAGAACGTGACAGTGGCGAACCTCGTCGCCGGTTTTACTTCCGGAAATTCTTCACACCCCTGCCCCATTAAAGGGGCGCTGAGAACTCGGGGCCATTTCTTTTATTTTATGCCTCATGGTGCGAAAACTAGGGGTGGTAGATTTTACGCCGCTACCTTACGGCGACGAGCCGAGTCTTATACTTTAATTATTTTTAATAAAAATAATCAGTAAACATTGTAATCCCTTTGTGTTTATTAATCACTATCACAATTTGGTTTTGGTCTTTAGAGTTATTAGTGGTAAACCAGCGCCTGTTGTCACCTGGAAATTTAAAACTACTGACGATTTCGGCGAAATACCGGAAGGTGTTATCGCTGAAGAAAGTTCTCTCAAAATTCCGTCAATAAAAACTGAGCACATGGGTACTTACAAATGTGAAGCAGCGAATATAGTCGGGTCTGACTCAGGAGAGGTATTAATTAAAGTTGAATGTGAGTTTCGACATAAATTTATTCTTATTTTCAAAATTTTCAAATATTAAAATAAAATACTTATTTCCTTCTACAATTTGCTTTTTGTAAACAATAATTTAAAAAATAAAGACTGTAGCTTTCAAAAGATAATACGCTGTATAATATGTAAAATCAAGTAGTTACACAGATATGTTTTTAACGAACATAAACTATTATTTTTTAATATGCAATTTATGCATAGCGATAATGGCAAGTCCTACGTGCAACGGATTCGAGGTAGCAAAAAAACCCTTTTCCAAAAAAATATTGAAGGAACCCGTATCCAACGACCTTTAACGGCTGATAAAGAAGAATACATTAAAAATTCGGTAATAATTCAATTTAATTTATATGTTATACAGATGCTCCAAAAATCAAGGTTAATGAAGAGCTAAAAGTGGTGAAAGAAGACGATCAAGTTGAATTATCGTGTGAAGTTGATGCTGTACCCAAAGCACGCGTTAGATGGGAGATAATGAAGGATGATGTCATCGTATCTTTAGACAGCAGACATTATACTGATGAGTGGAATACCCATAGGTAATAAAATACTAACATATTTGTGTTAAAAATGTGTATTGAAATTAAAAAAACTCTTTGAAGAAGGATTCTTCCAGTTATATTTTACTAAAGCAATAAAATGTCTCAGTCAGTGGAGCTTGCAATATGAGAAAGTCATAAGACAAGCTTATAAGGAGTACTGTTTGTAAATATTAATTTACCATATAATTAATTAGATTTTGATTCTGTTCGAAGACTGAATATAGTTAGTGGCCACGTGTTTAAAATTTCTGAGCTACCACGGCTCATAACACAATTGAATATACGTTTATAAGTATGCGTGGGATATGAACATAACATAGGTACTCAAAGTTTTAACAAAAATATGCACAATCTTTGCACATTGTGAGTTATTGGAATATGTACAAATTAGAGAAATACAGAAAAAAAATTTTTCAATAGGTTTACCGCTCAGTCAAATGACTCTGGAAATTATTACTGTATTGCCGAGAACGAAGTGGGAAAAGCCGAACGAACAATAACAGTTAATGTTTTGGGTAAGTTCCAAAAAGACTTTTTACTAAATTATTACGAATTTTATCGTACTTCGTTTTATTTTATTATCTATGCAAAAATTGTTTATTGGGTTTGGATTTAGTTTTATTAGTTAGGTATAGAAGCCCAAACTTATAACGTGTTAAGCAAATTATACTCAATTTATAATCTAGCTATGTTCTTTATAATATATATAGAAGTTAAGATTTTTTTCAAACTTCAGTGGTCTCTTAAATCATCGTTGATCAGTGTACTTTTGCCAGAGTTTGTGGGTTTAATAAATTAGATGTAGTAACGGTGCGCACCATGAGGGCATGCGGATAACTAAACATCATAGATTATTATAAATATATTTGATTAAATTGAAGAAAAAATACAGAAACCTCTCTACTTATAGTACATCATCTATACTTACCTAAAAATATAGCATTGCTCTTATCACAACATAGTATAAGGGTTCTACTTGGTGATAAGTGCGAAATAGTAACACTGAAATTTGTATTTTTTTTTTGATATACTTATGTTAATAGTATATAATAAATCGTTGACCTAGTGTTCGTAAACGCAATAGCATTGTTGTTTTTGTTCTGAGGATAAAACTAAGGACATAGCGTAGATGTTTTACGTCAGCTATATTATGATCTCTTAAGGAGACTATATTATTTTTAATTATTATAAAATAAAACTATAAATATTCATTTCTTATATTTACGCGAAGACTACACATTAAATGAAACTAATTTTTACGGATTCTATCGCGTTTAATTTAACTTTTTAATTCTCGACGTTTCGATGTCTCAGTCAGGTCATGGTCAGGTCAGGACTCAGTCCCCCCCGATGGTCACTGGGGGGACTGAGGTGTTTACGGCCCGATGTCACAGTTAGCCCGGCTACCTTCAGTTTTGGAATATTAATTTTTGGTCCGATCTACGCAGAATGAGCTTACATTTTCTTGAGGTCTTGCAGTGGTATCTTGGGTTTGGATTTAATTTTATTAATTATAGCATCCCAAGCAGATGGCAGCAGCCATTCATCTTCTCTATTGAAATTAGGATGTTTTTTTTTTTAATTTCAATAGCCTCGCGAATCATCCTTGGTAGGAATCGGTGTTCTTTTGCGAGGATTTGTGGTCTATCAAATCTAATGTAATGGCGGGGATGATCTTAAACATGTTCACACCCCGTGACTATGGGTGCTATAAAGCACCCGAAAAGTCGGGAATCAAAAAGTTAAATTAAACGCGATAGAATCCGTAAAATTGTTTTCATTTAAAACTATAAATTTTAAATTTTACATCAAATGAGCGTTTGATTGTTGAACTGCTAAAACGGGTTATATTCCCGCAAAGAAGAGATATTTATAGGGTCTACAAGCGATTAAATCTTATAAGAGTGATTTTCCATGTATAATTTTGATAAATATTATATTTTAATGAAAAAAAGGATGAAAATTTTTAAATAAAAGCAACTAAATTATAAAAAAATTAATAATGTTTCTACTAATTGTAACAATTGAACTAAAAATTGCAGAACCAAATGTCTATCACCTTAATCGCTATTTTCCACAGTTGTCACACTGTTTTTCGGAGGTCGTATAATATATCTGGCTTAACGTTTAAAAGCCAAGCAGTATAAGATATAGATATACGTGGTAGAGCCATGCCGCAGCTATATTAGTAGTATAATTGTAGCACGACTGGGTCGGCTAGACCGGGGAAGGACCACGCTCTCACAGAATACCAGCGTAAAATGGCAGCTTGACACTGCTGTGTTGCGTATGGTGAGTGTAGAGAACCGGAGACCCTTTTTACTGGAAACGAGGCATTCCATCTTAGTCCTCACGGGTGACAACGCATCTGCATTTTGATTGGCAAACGAGGATAAATGTAGATGTTTATGGGCCACAGCAACCACTTACGATCAGGTGGACTGTGTGCTCATTTATCACTATAAAAAAACATAGATAGTACTTTTTCTAACGTTTACACTGCATGGAAATTAATATAATATAACAAAATATGTTTCAGTGGAACCGTACATCGAAGCTCCTAGGTTGAATTCGATATCGGTCAGGTCCGGTGATACGGTCACATTGCCGTGTATTGTGTCTCATGGTAATCCAGTACCTTCAACAAAATGGGAGTTTATAGCTCTCAATTCAACGGTGACTACTTTATCAAGGTATTTATTTTTTCTGAAGAATTAAAAAATATAAAAGTGAATTATAATTAGTTCATTCGAACATAAGTAAAATATTTATTTAACTTATGTTTAGTTATCCAGTTACTAGAATCAGAACATAAACCGAAACCTAAATGAGAACCTAGGTACCTTTATTTTACCGGTAAATGAGCGAAAGAAGATTTAAAAACTTGTTTGTTTAATGGAGCACCAGTCGAAGAACAATATTTCTGGTAAAAAAGACATCTTGACGTTGTATCTCGTCATTATATTAAAATAAAGCTAAATAATCTGCAACGCCAAGAATGCTTCCCCCTACGATTTTGAACCTAAAAAATGGTATTTGGAAACAAGCAGGTATTATAAAATAAACATATTTACTGGAACCAAAATCAGAATGGTGGAGATTTTTTATGAAATCAAAAAAATTATAAAAACATAAATGACACCATTTTCATAGATCCAAGCCGGGTGAAGGCGCGACGAGTTGCGATTTGACATAAAAAGTATTACGACCTTTTGTGTCAAATCGGAAATTTAAAAAGTTTTGTTTGAAACAGTTACAGTTACAGAAATAGTCATCAAAAACTATTTATTTTGTCAGTTTACCAATTTGACTTAAAAAAAAGCATGTTTTATTGTATAAAATATATCCCAGATCACTCATGGCATTGCTTTCTGTCTTTCAGTTCATTACAGTCAGTTCAACCATACTGAAGATTAGCTCGGACAGATAGACTGACAGACAGACGGACATACAGACAATTTTTAAATGGTTAATCATATGTTAATAGTTTGGAAAAAACCCACTAAGCATAATAATGAAAATAATTTATTACAAACTTCATAAACTCCTTTGCAAAAAAAATTGGCACTTAACATTGAGCTATACATATTACTTCAATGGCACCCTATTTTATTGTTGCTATTATTAGATTGTGTAATAATGAAAATTTTTTTTCTTTGATTTTCTATTATAAAGAAAAAGTAAATAAAAGTTTAGAATGGAGTGTGACTCCTTCTTGCTGAAATCACAACTTACATTTATCTGAGCATGCTAGCGAGTATATCTCTAATGTTTTCTTGCAAAATACGTTCCCACTCCACGATAATGACATTATTTAGATCTCAGACATACCCTGGCTTCATCGGAGAACAAAACTCTATCCCAGTTTTCCTGAGTCCATGACAACCATTTCAGTCTGGTAAATCGGTGTTCACGGAGTAATTTAGGGCCGCAGCGCAGGCTAGATGATGGTTGGCAGCGAGAAGCCTCCTCCTGACCGTCCATAGACTAATTTGCACATTCTTTACTTTTTCGAGATTGTTATGATCCATAAACGAAGATTGCGAATTCTTATCGCTTGACTCAGCAGTAAGCGTTTTTCCCGTAATTTGGTACATGGCTTTCTTCCAGAACCAGGTCTTCCCTTGACTAAACCAGTTTTTTGACAGCACTTCCAGGTCCTTTGGACCTTCCAACAACTCATATTTCGCCTCTGAGATACGAATTATTGGCTACAACCCTCCTCGAGTAGCACAATAATTTTGCTGGCTTTTATCACATTATCTACAATGTCGTCCGCGCTATCCCAATTCGTGTTGGCGGACTTCACATGTCTTTTAAACAATTTTTTCTTATTTCTCAGATGTGCAGGTTCCTTCACGATGTTTTCCTTCATCGCTGGGGTAAATCAGCACTTGAAATTGCAATTAACAATTTTATTGGTGCATGTGGTGATCGTAGCTCGCGTACTGTGAAATTTACAGCAACTGCTCAGCCCCTGAACTACCACAGCTCAACAATACTTTAAAATTTCAAAGAAATCAGATAATTAAATAAAAAATGGACTAAGTCGTTTAGAGTCGATATTAACTTTCAAAAGTTCACGCCACAAAATGTAGTAAATAGTTGTTTTCTTTAAAAACCAGGCTCAGGCAGAAATTTAAATTTGGAACGTACTTTTTAAACACCACGGCACTTTTATGACCGGCCATTAACATGTTCAAATGATTAAAACCTTTATCGTATTGTATTTTTTTCAGGCAGGAAAAATTAAAATTCGCCGTATTTTTTTTTTGGAAATAAGTGTATTAAATTGTAAAATGTATAACATTATTGTAGATCACTGACGTGTTGTTTTTGGCTTTAGTTAATTTATTTACATATAATAGGTAAATAAATTAACCTATCAGATATAAATAAAATTGATGTATCTGTCTGTAATATCGAAATAACTTGCTTCTTCTAATAAGCGCAGGGAATTATTTTCAAGCTAAATGAATAACCATGTTTTAAATTTTTGTCAGTCTGTTCGGGCTATTCTACGGAATGGCTGAACCTTACGAACAGTTAGAAAGCAATGCCAGGAGTGGTCTGGGTTACATTTAATTCAAAAAACATTCCAGTTCTTTTTTTTTTGTGAAATCGAAAAGCTGATAAACTAATTGGTTTTGATGATTATCTCATAAACTACAAGAAATATAAAAAAATTGGAACAAATTTTTTTTAGTTTGTAATTTACACAAAATAAATGGTTTATCGATAATCAACTACATGCCCAAAGCGATGGTCGAAGTCTCATGCGAAAGCTAATGCCACTATAAATCAAAAAATACGAGTATCCATATTGTCCGAACATAATTTTCGTGTACAAATAATAAATGTATATATTTATATAATATTACTATTTTCCTTGTTACAGAGGAAAATCTCCCAACAATTTAACATTAAGGCGTATTTCGAAAAGACACGAGGGATCCTATATTTGTGTAGCGGAAAATGAAGCAGGTTCTGATACGATTAAAATAATTGTCAAAGTTATCTAAGTATATAATATAGCTTATAAGTAGTACTATTATATACTATCTTAATAACCTGTGTCAAAGTATTATAAAATAATAAACGTAATTAATATTATACCTACGTATGCATGGTTTTATATTATCACCTTTAAAAAGAAGTAATGATGACAAATTAATTCACCGTTCCCGACACTCACCATACGAAAAACCCACCTTCTTTGCATATTTTTCGTGCATTGATGCTGCAGTTCTAATAATGCGTAAAATAGTGTACTCTCCGAACTCGAACTGTTAAGCAAAATGCGTGGCGGCCGCAACAGCATCTAAACATGTTCGCCGAACGATGTGAAGGAAATATGCTGAGAATCTGGAACGGTTTATTAAAAAGTAATTATTTAAGAAACTAACATTAGTATTTAAGGTGCGCAATGTATTACTAACAACTTATGTCTCCGTCAAGGGTGGCGACCAGGGCCGGAGTTTACCCAGCACCATTCTGTATGGGCGCCCCCAGGGATCTTCGTTGAGTCCCTCCAGGAGCTCATTTCAGGACCGAAACCAGACATTCGCAATGGCGATTTGCAACGCCTTTGTAGTCGCGTGGTATTGCCCGTAGAGTCTGGCTATCTCCCCAGGCGGAGCTCGCCTTCTCCTCCTTCGGGCTCTGGTGTACTGGCGTCGCGACCGAAGACAGATCGCACGGAGCCGTGCGATTGCTGCCGACCACCAGTATACCACCCTGTGCTTGGAGCGACTGGTTCTGGACATCGACAAGTCGCATATTTGCGTCATCGTACCTCGAAACCAGTTTGCTTCCCCTTCCGGGTCGGACTGAACTTCTTCAACTTTTTCTGGCCATGCCATGAGGATGGCGGCGGCTTTGAGCTTGTCTCTGTCTAGCTGCTTGAGAGGCCAACGCCGCAGTGGGCTGCCCTCCTGGCGGCTGGAAATACTGGCAGGCTGTCTAAGTGTGATATCGAAAAAAATGTGTCTATGATCGGACAACGTAACCGCCTCCACCGCCACTCGCCACCTTGACTGTATTTGCATTGCAGGAGGAGTTGCCCATGTTAGATCCACAATGGACTCGCCCTGCCACCGCACACATGTGCTTACGGACCCCTCATTCGCTAGTCAGAGGTCCAGTCAGCCGCCCACTCCATTACGGTCTCTCCCTTCGGAGCGTTTCTGGTGTTACCGCAGGCCCTAGAATGGGCGTTAAAATCTCCCAGGACGATCAACGGACAGGGATGGCACCTGCGAACGCAGCCCTTCTCAAAAGAGCGCAAGGTGGGGCACCATCCCCCCCCCCCCCCCCAGTAGATGGCAACGAAGCCCGATTCTTCCCCAAAACAGCGAGGGAATCAATGGACACCTGCAGCCAACTTCAAGCAAAAAAAGGCTACAGATGTCAGCTCTGAGTATGTAATTATTTAAGCCCTTCAAATTGGTACATTGTGCAAGCACATTAATTAGGGGGCAGTAAAATTAAGACTGTGGTACCTACCCAGACGGACTCCTAGGCCTAGGCGGAAAACTAGTCCTTCTACAAAAAAAACACCGCTTTCGCTAGATTACCTGTATTCTCCGCTTTGGTCAGAATTTTTTAACTTGATGATGACAAAACTTATACCGCAAAATATGTGTCGACCTGTCGTGCCTACACGACGGCAGTTGATGACGGATAACAGATATATTACATCTGATGGATGACATGTGGATTGTATGGAAATTATTATGAATGTTGTATGGTGACTGTATTAAAAATATGTAAAGTATGTATGGAAATTTAATGGCTTGGGTATGGAGATTAGGTATATAAAAATATGTGGACTGTGTATATAGAAATGGTAGACCTGTATTGAAACGATATGAATTGTGCATTTAAATTATTTAGAAAATTTGTATGGAAATAGTATGTTGATTGTATGGAAATGTTATGAGAATGAGTCTGAAATGATATTCTTGCGCTGATTACAAAAATACAATCTTCATATGATTTCTTTATATTCATATAAAAATTAAAATATCCAAAAAATCCCAATAGGTACCAATCCCTTACGATCACACCATCATTTAAGAAACACGGGTTCAAATACGGGAGCATTATGCGGCAACGGAACGGCAGTGTTCAACCTCGGTTTTCAATTAAGGTTCAGTATCGTTTCCAACGAATACTCGTCAACACCAAAGGATTCACAAGGTCATAAGATATTTGGTTGATAACAAGTGTTTTAGGTAGAAGATTGCACAACTTCCATAGTATAAATAAATGTATTAAATGAGTATTAATTTAATTAAATTAATTTAAATTGAATGCCGGCTATCTCTACCCTACTTACTCATAACGAACTATTTTTCCGCTCTCTTTCTTTTATATGGTTGTATCTTAGTATCTTTTATTCTTTTTTTTTAGGAGAGGGGGCAAACGAGCATGCGGCTCACCTGATGGTAAGTGACTACCGCCGCCCATGAACAACTGCAACACCAGTGGAATCGCAGATGCGTTGCCGGCCTTTTAAAAAGGAGTAAACTCTTTTCTTGAAGGTCCCTAAGTCGTATCGGTCCGGAAAAATCCCTTGTGGTAATCGATTCCACAAGGAAGTTGTGCGAGGGAGAAAACTTCTTATAATACGCACAGTGGTGGACCGCCAATCATCCAGATGATATGGATGGTATCGCGAGTTTTGTCGCTTGTCGATTAGAATATAATTAATATATACTTTTAATTAGAATGGAAAATAGCGCGCCTCCATTTTATATTTTGTAGATTAAATCATGTCAATTATAATAATAATATTGAGAAAGGGCGCACTGACAAAATAAATTAAAATACACCGGAGGCCCCATATTTCATGGAACTACCCTTGAAGTATATATTATACAAGTTTTCTTAATAACGACTAAAAATAAAAATAAAACTGTGGTTGCCATCCCGCTTGCCAAGCGTGGTATATATGGCAAATATCCCCTCTACGAGGCAATCTATGGAGGAGGCCTATGTTCAGCAGTGGCCTTTAATAGATTGTAACGATAACGGTAACCCTAGAAGTATAAAAATATAACCTATTTATTAAAAATGATTCACTAAAATCGGTAACATACATTTTTTTTTATAGGATAAGGGTGACAAACGAGCACACAGTCCACCTGATGGTAAGTGGATGCTGTGGCCCATAGACATCTACATCTATCTTCGATTAAGAATCAAAATGCAGATGCGTTGTCACCCATGAGGACTAAGATGGAATGCCTCGTTTCCAGTAAAAAGGGTCTCTGGTTCTCTACACTCACCATACGAAACACAGCAGCGTTACGCTACTATTTTACGCTGGTATTCTGTGAGAGCGTGGTCCTTCCCCGGTCAAGCCGACCCATTCGTGCTACAACCATAATATAGCTTCAGCATGGCTCTACCACGTAGAAGCATGGCTCTACCACGTAGACATACAAACAAGTGGTAAAATTAAACATGTTATACAACCGGCTTCAATATAAATTATTAAGGATAACTCGAAAACTACTGATCAGACCTTAAACAAATTTATATGGGACCACATGAGAAGCATCAGCTTCAAATAAAATAAAGAATCATTAAAATCACACAAAACATAAGTCGAATTGAGTACCGCCTCGTTTTTGAAGTCGGTTAAAAAACAAACTCTCGCTGCGGAAATGAAAGACTTTTATATCGTATTTGACTTAGAATTGTAGACAGTGGGGCCTTGATGTAATAACTATTTGAGGTAAGAGACTGTGGATGAATTGCATTGATGAGTTATTCGAAAGATGCTGTTCCTCAACTCCTGTTGTTGTTTAGTTTCCCTATGTCGTCTTTTACGAGATGAGACGATATGGGGTGGTATTTTTAGACCGCCACTATACAATTGATTGATAGTATACTAGACATTCTTGAAAAATTGTTGGAACCATATCATTTTTCACTTTTTTAGATGATTGATAAGCCCGCAATAAAACAGAGTTTGTCGAATTTTTTGACCTTGGATATTTCTTCTTTTTCTTAAGCTGGCGCCAGATATAGCAACAACATTTGCGCTTGTATATTTATTGAGCTCCTAGTTATCACTTCTCGTTAACAACGTTTTAAAGATCGGGAGTGTGTCGACGAGGGTTGCGTACCTTATACTCAGAATCACCAAACGGTATTCGATTAAAGTCATACAGGTTTACGCACCAACCTCGGCACACCCCGATGAGGAGGTGGAAAAAATGTATGAGGACATCTCTAGAGCCATGCATTCCTCCAAAACCCAATATACGGTGTTAATGGGAGACTTCAATGCAAAACTAGGCACAAGAGAGATCGGTGAGCTGAAAGTAGGGAAATTTGGAATAGGGCAACGGAACCCAAGGGGCCAGCAGCTGGCCGACTTCATGGAGAAAGAGGGACTCTTTATGATGAACTCTTTCTTCCAGAAGCGACCCCACAGGAAGTGGACCTGGTCGAGCCCCGACGGTTCGACAAAAAATGAGATTGACTTCATTATGACGACCAGACGACAACTGTTCAGTGATGTCTCAGTGATCGCGAGGGTGAAAACCGGTAGCGATCACCGAATGGTTAGAGGCACACTGAACCTAAACGTTAAGTTGGAGAGGTCTCGTCTAATGAAGTCAACGCTCCGTCCCCCTCGTGCTCTGTTCCAAAATCCCGAAACCTTTCAGATCGAGTTACAAAACCGTTTTTTCAGTGCCTAGAAGACTGCAATGAAGTGGACGATATGAATGACAAGCTCGTGGAAACTGTCCATGCGGTCGGAGCTAAGTTCTGCAAGACCCACCGCAGAAGAACACAAAAACTCTCCGATCACACTCTTAATCTCATGGCTGTTAGACGGGAGATGAATCTACATTCTTCAACAGATTTGACAGCATACAGGCAACTGAACAGACAGATCTCTAAATGCATGCGGCGGGACATACGCAACTTCAATACAGCTTGTATTGAAGAAGCGATCGAGCGGAACCAAGGCTCCAAATTCTTTGCCAGAGATCTGTGTGCC